TTTCCCACAATTACTCAAGTGGACCAAATTCTCACCAATTGACCCTGGTGTTGAGCGATTTTTTCGCGACGCGGTTAGTACATTATTTATAATACCTGACAATACAGACAGTGTTATAATCAATTAAGTTTATACTTAGTTAATTAATTATAATTACATTAACTATAGGTCTCTTCAATTGCCAAACGCCGTAAATCTGAAAAAGTAAAACCACGTGATTATCTGCAGCTCTTGATCGAAGCCCAGGACAGGGGTAACGGCGCCCAACCCTCCGGTCCCGACACTGACGACAAACTCGACACAAATGCCGAACAGATATTCGCGGAAACGGGTGGTCAGGCGCTGACCGGCCATAAGACGAGTCATCCAATCATATCGGACGACGATTTTGTCACAAACTCAATGATATTCCTGACGGCGGGCTTTGACACGACCTCATCGTTGCTGTCGTTCCTGTGCTATGAGTTGGCCATCAATGAGTTGTGTCAACAGAGGCTATACGAAGAGATCAATAAGTTTTCCGATGACATTAACTACGAGACAATCTCTCAAATGCCGTATTTGGAGGCCTGTGTGGCCGAAACACTACGGCTTTATAACCCCATCACTACTGTTGGCCGCATTGCCGACGAAGAGTATACAGTGGGTAAGTGATCACACGATATCACCTTGGTTACATTTATTATAAATTTAATCGTGTGCTTATATTTGTTATACCAGGCGATACAGGGCTGACAATACCAGTTGGTATGTTTGTGGCCTTTGACTTACATGTGCTGCACCACAGCCCGGAATACTACCCTGACCCGATGCGTTGGGACCCTGAGCGTTTTCTGCCGGAAAATCGTCATAAATTAGTGCCCAAAACATATATGCCGTTCGGAACGGGACCCCGAAATTGTGTGGGAATGCGGTTCGCGCTGATGGAGGCCAAGACAGCTATTGTGCAGTTGATCCGGCGGTTCCAATTCCGGCGCTCTGTCAACACTACTATTCCCCTGAAATTCAAAAAATTCAACTTTATTTTAGACGCGGAAAAGGATATCAAAATTGAAATGCAAATTAGAGATTAGAATAAGTTTTATAATAAGTAACAATAAAACTAGTAAATAATACATTACCATATAGTTCACCACTATGTAACTAAACCAACTAAACATGTTTTAATAATCATAAATCATGATTCATAATTAATTTTATTAATCTATTTTTTAATTTTGTATAAATATAATAAATATTTTGTTGTAATACAGTTTAAATGTCAATTTGTACATTTACATTTTCTCAACTATTTTAAAAAACAACAATTAGAATATTTAAATGATTCTTGACTATACAGGATGTTTACTTTACTAATTAATTAATAACAAATAATACATTTATTATTGTTAACATAATTGGTTACGTCCAAAATGTAATAATAAAATAGCTTATACAAATTAATATTATCATTATTTTAAAGGAAACGCTATTGTGATTACTTAAAGTTGGTAACACAATTAATTTAATGGAGAAATCTTTGCTTATTTTGTTTATTGTGGGCACCGATTGTTTTGATATTTGTGATTACATACAAACTAACGGGACGTATAATGGCATTCAAATATTACGAACCTACAATCGAATTGACTATGGTATTTTCACAGATGAGTTTGAGTATAAACATACAATGAGCTCAAAACGTAATGTCTGGCCGTTTGCTATCGTGAAAGCAGATAATCAAGATGGGCATGGTGGCAATCTTGACATTGCACCATTATGGAAAAAGCCGTATAAACTTTACGAATCTAGTTGGATTAATAGATATTCAGGAATACTCGGCCATTCTAGGAGTTTGTCATGGAGAACACACGTCTACGATTGCTATATTAATGAATTGGTACATAGTATGCTGTTATAATATTTATTGTAATATTTCTAAAATTAATTCATAATGAACTCTATTTAATATAGTTAAGTGGGACCAACCCCTCGGTAATTACCTTGTGTATAATCAAAAAGGGTCGTGATATACTTGAAAATGGTATAAAAGTTCAAACGATAATTATTCATAAACATACATATTCATATTCATTAACATAATAATAATAATTACATTTAACATTATGAAAGATTTAACGTTTACCTCGAGCTTGCAGTTCAACGCATATGGCGTTATATTCAGCCCAACGGTTGTTACTCAGGATGATTTAAAGGGGCATGGACATAGTTACATGAGAGTGTTTGACACCAACACACTGACCAGCGAACTGATCAGGGTCAATTTCTACTCAACAGGTTTTGTTAAAATTACTTGGCATCATAGTGTTGAATTGGTCACTAATGATAATATATGGGACTGGAAGTCTTATCAAGTCCCATTATTTCTGACCATGTTGCCCAATTATTTGAAAGCACAGTTGGAAGGTATCGTTGACTATGATTTGGGCCCCGATATGAGGGGACATATGCTATGGTTTAATATCAACGGCCGACCCATGTATTGCTTCACAACTGAAGGCAAGCCACTGTCCAAACAAGTAATAAAAAAAGAATACAGTATGAATTCGATTACAACAGAATTCAATTTTAATATAAAGTTTTGTTATCTCCACCGATTGTACATGTACAATAAGAATATATTTTTGATATACTCGATGTAACATATAATTTTAATAAAATAGGTTATTTATTTAAATCGACATCAGACTGTATTGAAAATAGTAGACCTATATAAGTTTTTCATGGAACATTTTAAATTAATGTTACATTTATTTTCAGTGCTCTTTAGCCACTAATATGATACCGTTTGCAAAGCATTGTTTTAAAACTATTGATACGAATATACATTGTAATATCGCAAATAAGGTAATGTTATAGGGATTTATTAAAGATATTTTATCATTCGATTATTTATCATTTATAAATTAACTTTATTTCAGATCATTTGTCAATATTTTAAAAACAATGACACCTACAGTGGTGTTCATATATATCGGCACTGGTATAGGGATGACAGGCGTCGAGTGGTCTCCACATACAAGTTATACACAGGAATGGGACGGGAAGTGGACGTTGGGTTAGAGCTAACTGACACAACACATCGGGTTATCATTAAAAGCTTACAAACATATACCGACAATAAGGACTATATTATTTTTGAGGGCTATTTTTCGCCGTACGAAAACAGTACACAGATTTACTACATGTATAAGTGTTATGCACAACACATTAAACCCAATAAATTAGATAAACCTTGGTGCTTTCAAATTAACTGCCATGTAACCACAATGAATAAGTGGTTTATATCCGATACTATATGTTTCAGTGATAAACCCGTTATAATAAGCTCATATCCATCTGGTTTACGGCAGATTAAGTTATACACATTCATTGTGGATAAGAGTACCGGTGCTATCACTACACTTAACATCTCAGCTAATTATATCACTGATAAAATAGACGCTCGCATTAAATTCAGTAATGAAACATGGTGCGAACGCATTCATGCCATGCAATGTCATCCAATCTATTGTAAATACCCGCTATTTGTCCGCCAATTATCGACCGCCGGATTGTTGGCACACTTGGAGTCCGCCATAGAATACCGACTGTACGACGAGTCCGGATATCTGCTATGGTTTAACATTTCCAATAAACCCATGTATTGCTTCCAACCCTATGGACAGCCCCTCTCACCCCAGGTTTCCATATCTTTCGCAGCGATATTTTATAATTATTTATTAATTAATTAATTTGTATTCATTTTTTAGTGCTCTTCTGGTGATCGTATGATACCGTTTGTCAGCACTTGTTTTGACTAGAATTATAATCCAAACAATTATAAAAAGTGCTATTAATGTTATAATTGTTAATGTTTAAAGTAGTTTAACCGTCTGATTGTATGGTTAAATTGCTCAAGACTTTTATATCGTGGTGAAAATAATCGACCAGTAATTTAATACATTTAATTTACATGAGTGAGATGGCAGCATAAGCGAGAAAGCTATGCTATGACAAAAAGTTACATCTTTAGTATACATCACAAAAAATATCCCAACTTTTAACACAGTATTCTATGCTATGGTTTAGTGTAATGAGTGGAGTGTAGTGTAGTGTATGTGTTGATGACATGCGCTGTATTGT